GGTTAACTGAAGCAGAAAAGACCCACCCTGAATGCGGGCAGCACCTTCCAGTGGCCCAGACATAAAGAGCTCTGAGAGAAAATCTCTGGCTTTTTGCCTGCTGGCCTTTTGTTGTTGTTGTTGAGGGCTGCTGCCGATGCCACTGCCACACTGCCACCATCTGTCAGTGATAGTAGAAGCCAGTTATTTCAGCCTTCTATCATGAAGACCAGCAACTCTCCAGATATCCTCCAGACCTGAATGGGACTGCTTCAAAGAATCCTTATTAATGTAATATCTGAGGATGACCTTTAAATATCCAATCCCCCTGCCTCTACCTACCAAGGGCTAGGTTATAGCATGCACTACCAGGCCTAGTGACCCCATGTCACCTTGGGAGTTAAGTTCCAAGGTATGAAGTTTAGAGACAGTCTCACTGTATATTCTTGGCTGACCTCAGAGCTCCATCTACCTCTACCTCTCAAGTGCTGGGATTAAAGGTGTGTCACCACGTCCAGCTCGAGGCATGAACTTTTCAAGAATATGAACATATTCAGACCATAGAGGTAGGTACTGAGGAAACAGAGGGACATTCCATTAAACTACAGGCTTCAACTGAATCTTCAAGATCACAATCAATAGACAAATTCAGCTACCAGCCAGGCACCCCGACAGGTACCCCATAGACAAACTGCTGGAGAACATGAAAAGTCAGGTCCTGCTGATCCAAAGCTGCAGGACTTCCATGACACAGGGGGAACAACAGGATATTTGAGGGGAGTCCTGGTGATGATCCAATATTGATAATGGAGCAGAAGCCAGAATCCTCAAACCACAGCAATGACTCACTTCGATGAACATTTGCGAGTAGCGTTGTGTGGACAAGAGTAAACTGTGGAGCACACAGTGACACACTACAGTTTCCATGACAAGGTTTTTTAATGATATTTTTTTATTTTAGTTTTTTATTTTCTTGGGTGAAGGTTGCAAGGGTGGGGGGTAAATACAAAGGGAAGGAGGGATGAGTGGGATTGGGGCATGATGTGAAATTCACAAGGAATCAATAAAAGGTTAAAAAGAAACACTCTTAGAGCCAGGTATATAATATCACCTCTCAAGAGGTGAAAGCAGAAAGATCAGCAGTTCAAGGCCATCCCCAGTCACATAGTGTATTGGACGGGGAGGGGAGGACGTTGGTGTGAATCTAAGCAAAAGGTATATGAAGGAAACGGGGGTATCTTTTGCTTTCTTGAGAATGTGAAGAATAGTCCAAGTTTCCTGTAAGAGTAGTGCAGGCTTCCAGTAAGAGTAGTCCAGGTTTTCTGTAAGAAAAAAAAAATCAAATGCACTGGGACTCACCAGAAAATTGTGTTGGCTTGTGGTCATTCATGTCAAGTAAAATTCTATAGGCCCTGTGACCAAGGACTTCACAAGAATGTCTGATGGTGCATTCCTCAAGACGAAGCTAGGGACCTTTGTATTTATCTTCTCCCATCATTGTCTTTTGAAGAGTGATAGTGAGCTCACTAGTCATGTTCATGTTGGTGTTTGCTTGAGTCACATGACAGGTGACCTTCTGGTGGGAGCCCACAGAAAAGGCCATGGAAGAAGGAAACATTTGTTTGCCCTCACTCTCACTGGCAAGCTTGACTACCCTATTGCTGCTGATTTAAATCTAATTTCTTGAGGATTCCCATGTAGACTAAAGACCAGTAGCTCTCTAGGAATCCTCCAGGCTGACACACTCAACCCTATGAACCGAACAACTCAGATTCTCAACCCATCATGAGACAGCCAATATTGAACTACTCAGGTCACATCCTGTAAGCCAGCCTAATAAAGCCCATATATACATACATACATACATACATACATACATACATACATACACACACACACACACATATATATATGTTATATTTTCTTATCAGTTCTGTTCCTTTAGAACCCTAATACACTGAAGCGTTTCGAGCGCAGGTGTGTATCACTGTTAGCTATACTATGTATGTAAGCTGTATTTATGAACTAGCTGAGATATACATGTACACTAAGGGGGTCCCTTCAGGTGTCACAGTAGGCAGGGAAGTGAACCACGAAGAGGTGAGGATGAAAACTTGGTTCAAGCTGACTTGTCAAGCTCCTAGAGAATTTGATACCAGGCAAGTTTATTGCCAGCATATTTAAACACAATATAATTTGGGGCAAACTTTCGTGGTTTAATACAATCTGCAGTGTACAAGGGGGCATAATTACATTGAACCTTAACTCAAAATACATTCCATTTTTTCCAAGATGGGTTCTAGAAATAGGCTACCTGTACTAGCTTAAAGCAGGATCTGGCCTGGTCTCGGACATACAGATAGCATGGAGGTCATTTGGGCTATTAGCCACCTCTGGTCCTGGTTGTGTGAGCTCAGGGGAACCCCTGGCTGTACAGGTAAAGTATAAAGGTCATTTAGATTACTAGCCACCTCTGGTCCTGACTGTAGGAATTTGAGATGTCCTAGCCCAACAGATAATTCAGATCATCAGACAGACTATCATCTCAAATTTCCAGCCTTCTGGAAAAACAGCTTATATTTCTTATCTTCCCTTTGAAAGGACAATCCTGGGTGCCTAATATTCCTGGTTTCCCTGGAGATCTGTGAGCACAAGGACCTTTGTGCTACTAATATACAAATAACATTAATTTTAAGGTTGTTTGCAAATCACAACAGACGATATTAGTATTTTAATGTGTATCCAATTACTTTATCTAATAGCTTTTTTTAAAGATGTATTTTATGTGCAGGAGTATTTTGCTTTCATGTATATAGATGCAAAATGTTTACACCTTGTCATTGAAGGTCACAAGAGGGTTTCACATCCCTTGGGACTGGAGTCACAGATGGTTGTAAGCAGCTATGAGGATGCTGGGAATTGAACCCTGGTCCTTTGCAAGAGCAAGTGCTCCTAAACACTGAGCCATCTCTCTAGCCTAGCAGTTGCTATTTTTATTAAAGTAAAATCACTGGGAAAATAAGTTTGTCATATACAGTGGGACTGGAGAGGTAGCTCAGTGGTTAAGAGTGCCTGTCACTCTTCCAGAGGTCCTGAGTTCAGTTCCCAAACACCCATGTCTAGTGGCTGACAACCACCCATAAATGAAGCTCCAGGTGATCAGGCTCCGTTTTCTGGTCTTCATAGGCCCAGTACACAATAGGCACATGCATACACATACATACATGTGCATAAACTAAGTCTCAGAGAAAAGAATTTCCATGAACAGATGTCAAAAATTTGTAATGGAGATGTGAGTCAAGATGGTGGTGGCCACTGGTACTAGAGGAACTGCAGGGCGGCTCTGGGAAACAAGAGACACACAGAAGCTCCGAGGGCAACTTGGAGGCTGAAGTGGAGTCTGTAGAGTCCACAGTATCACCAGAACAACTAAAAAGTAAGTGGGTCTTATAGGAAGATGCTTCTAGAAACTGGACTCATGAAATTAGAAGGAAAGATGGCTGAGATGTGTGTAGTCAAGAGATGTGGATCTAGGGGGACAGCAGCACAGGGACATTGTTGTTGCAAGTAGGGCTGACAGGGTGGTGACCTCCTAGAAAGACTTTCATGGTCTGTGCTGCTGCTGGAAGTCATGTTGGTGTACGTGGTCCCTGTTGCTGCTGGCTGTTAAGGACAAGGAAGCTTCTTTTGCAGTGCTAGCAATAACTGTAGACTCACAGTTGAGAATGAGAGGTATAGAAATATTCGTGACACCTCTCCACCCCTCCCGTTGCAAAAAAAAAAAAAAAGTCTAGACAGGAAGCCATTGAAGCATGTCCTTAAAAACTGTGATAGGAAGGCTAAAGTGTAGCTCTTTCCAGGTGATGGTTTCTGGTGGCTGGGGTTAGGGTTAGGGGTGGGGAAGGACTCAAATTTAAGGGGCTGGCCCCTGGGAGTTTGACCATGTTCCAGTGTGTGTATAGGCAACACAAATTCGACTTGGTGTATATTTTTTTTTTCATTTTTGGGTGGAAGGTGGACCTGGGAAGAATGGGAAACAAGTGTGATGAGGTGCATTGTGTGAAATTCCCAAATAATCAATAAAAATACTATGTTAAAAAAAACTGTTATAGAAAGCTGTTGGAGAGCTCGGCAGTGGTGGCGCACGCCTTTAATCCCAGCACTTGGGAGGCAGAGGCAGGCGGATTTCTGAGTTCGAGGCCAGCCTGGTCTACAGAGTGAGTTCCAGGACAGCCCAGGCTATACAAAGAAACCCTGTCTCGAAAAACCAAAAAAAAAAAAAAAAAAAAGCTGTTGGAGGGTAGGGTGCCCATATACTATCAAGATGTCTAAGGTTATTTGATTCATAAAGGGAAAAAACCAACCTTTACAATGGAGAAATTGTCAGACAACTCCTTAACCAAGAATCCAGTTTACCACCAATGATGGAGCAAAGTGACACCCAAGCATCTCCCTTAAAGACACACTATAACTTGGTGTTGCTTCTCTTGTTTTACAAATATAATTTTCTTTGATAACTGAGTTATTAAAAATTCCAAAATCTAAATTGAGGGCTAGACTATTCAATAATATCAACATTGCAGAAGAAAAAAAAACAAAAACAACAACAACAACAAAAAACCAAACCAAACCAAAAGCCCCTCCAAGCCAAACCAAGTAAACAAACAAAAACCAAACCAAACAAACAGGAAAAAACGAGAGAGAAGGGGGCCTGGGAAACTATCCTAAAGAAGATTAACCCCAGGAGTAAATCAAGTGTCAGTTTTGACTGGATTTTGAGTTTGTCCTCTCTAACAAGAATGAGACAGAAGAAAACACAAAGATAGTCATCAATCCTCTAACATTAAATCTGTATCAGACACTGGCTAACAGTGCTGTAACAGACCTCAATATTTATGAGTGGCTGATGGTATTGTGGCCATTGTTCCTAAAGGACAGATATTAAAATATTTAGGGGTGAAGTGGCATACTGAGTCTTCAAGTTAATAAAGACTAAATTTCTGCACCTGTTTGAGAAATTGCATTGCCATGGAGTTACAGGCCGGATGAACCGAAGAGAAGAGGGCTGGGTCATCACTGCACCGGGTAGCTTGTAGAGCCCTCAGTGCCTCGCCTTTGCAAGGGTCTGGGTGTAGGAAGAGCAACAAGCTACATAAAGCCCCTCCCCTTCCACAGCAATCATACTGAAGGGCGCATGTGCACAGGTCCTATGGGTACGGCCGTAAGCCACTTCTTTCCTTGCCCAAAGCCGCACAGCAGCTGAGCACATCAGCAGCACGTGAACTGGTATGCTTTATGGCAGAGGCGCGAAAGCACGAAGCAGCTTGGCCATTGCTGCGTCAGGATCTTCTGCGTGGTCGGCATTCCGTGCTCAATTGTTGGCTGGCAGCTTGGCCGTTGGCACTTCTCCGACTGAGGCAACCATGGCGGGAGTACTAGCGCTAATGCGGAAAACCCGAGATTATATTAAGACCAAGGAGTTTCGGGATTATATAACCAGCACCCACTTCTGGGGTCCTGTGGCCAACTGGGGCCTTCCACTGGCCGCCTTTAAGGATATGAAGGCACCTCCCGACATCATCAGTGGCCGCATGACGACGGCCCTCATCTTCTACTCCATGGCTTTCATGCGCTTTGCCTACCGTGTCCAGCCTCGAAACTACCTGCTGATGGCGTGCCATTTCTCCAACGTGTTGGCGCAGAGCATCCAGGCAAGCCGTTACCTGAACCACCACTATGGTGGCGGAGCCAAAGCCAAAGCCAAAAACCCTCTGGCCAAATAAGCTTGATGACTGGGGGGGTGAGAGGGATAGCCTGAACCAGACTTTGCAGCTTACAAGCACTGGACTCTATTCCTCCTAAAGAAAAGCCAAGGAAAACTTTGGTTTGCAAACCCAATTTAAACCTGCAGTTTGGTTAATTAAAAAATAAAAAGCATCAAATTGATATTGAGTGTTGCTTGTTTTGTGAACTGGGAGGGCAAAATGGTGCGTCTCCCTCTTCAAAAGACTTCAGGTTTAGATGTGGGAAGAAGACAAGAGGAAAATCAAACTATTCATAGCTTTGCTTAAAAAGAAAACCACCCAAAAAAACCTGTCTAGGGAACAGACTTTTGGGTGTCCAAAATGTTTGGTGCCACAGGTAACTTAAAATTTGGTAGTGACAAATCCCTACACCAAAGGGGGTAGGGTTGGGGGCTGTTTTTGTAGAAGGAAATGTTTAGAAGAGTGTTTAAATAAATGTAGTGAAATTCCAGTTTACATTTTCAAATACTTATTAAGAGTTTAGTGTCTCTTGGTTACCTAGGGAAATAATGGAAGTTGCCATGGAGATGGGATAAAGGACTCAGAATGGTTTCTTGGCTTGGGATGGTTGCTGTCAATTCGCAAGGTTCTAGGTAAACAAGCCTAAATTATAATGCTTTCCCTTTACCCTTTAAAGTGGAAAATTACTGGAGTTTGTGCAGTTGCTGAGCCCTGCCCCAGGGTTGATAACTAGCTAGGGATGGGGGGGGGGGGGGCGGTGAGGTCACTGGTCAGCAGCAGTGGCTCAGAGTACCCCCTAGGAATTCTCTGGTGCCAATGATGTATTAAACCAGAGAGCTTGTAAAGAGGGAAGACCGAAGTTGTGAGGTACAATTATTATAGCCAGGACAAGCTGTCCTCTGGTGTTTGATCCACATATACCTTGCCTAGAATTCTGCTGAATCCAGGAAAGCCCACGTGGTTTCTGGAAGACCCAATACACATATTCAGAAGTGCTGAACCTGCTTCTGATCAAGTTTATAAATTCAACAGAATTCAAACCCCTTCCGAAAGGTTCTGAAGCCATTTACTCTTGGCTAAGACAGGCCTGACAGTGGAACTTCAGGAAACGCTGCAGGAACTGTCATCTGTAGCATCCAAGCATGAGTCTTATTTGTGGGAAGTGTCTTTCACATTCTGAATGAGGGTGGAGGGTAGGGAACAAATTATAGGACAGGATACTAGCTGCCTGCCGGACTGCAACCAGCCACCCAATAATTTAACAAACACTGGCTCACAGTTTGTGTGGTCTCTGTGGCTGGAAGATCTATTTCCAGGTTTATGGGTGTTTGTGGGAGGCCTCAGCTCCGTTTCTTCCTGTAGCAGTTGACACAGCATGGTTCCCCCACCGTGGTGTTTGCAAAGGATGGAAGATGAAAGTCTTACTGTGCTGAAGCTTAATCATGAAGTGATGTATCATCACTTTTGCTATGTTCACAAAGCAACCCTGCTGCACTGTAGGGGTCACCTGTGGAGGCTAGCCTGCCCCCACAAGGTTCTGAAATAAAAACTGCTTCTCTATATACAGCCAGTATACAGTATAGAGACCCATCTCACAAAGAACTGCCAGAGACTGCTCAGCCAAGTCTTTGAAGTTACGAAGTGAACTATATTAAGATTTTTATTAAAACATTCAAGTATTTTTTCACTTCACTGAGTATCACATGAGTAGAAATTAATATTTAGGCCTATCTCACAAAGTGTATTTTATAATTTGAATATATTTTAATAAAGGGCACTGTTGAGTGAATGCTTTTCAGAGCAGGTAAATTTCCAATTAAACTAGCAAAGGGAAAGGAGGCAATCTCTGATAATTTCCTTGTCTTTGCAACTATGATTTAGCCATTTTTCTCTATAAATTTTTTCAAACTATCAACCACCTGTGTCCCGGGAGAGGCTGTATAATCCATACTTCTGGATAAAGACCAGGCACTCCAGTGGGAGAGGAAGGCAGCCTTGGTAGAAGGCCTGCCCTTCCTGGGTTTCCTCCCCTGGTGCTAGGATTCCAAAGCACCCCTGGAGGTGGAGCTACAAAATGGAGGCGACAGCAAAATCCATGTAATCTGACCCAGAAGTATGTTTATTATAAAAAAGAATATATAAAAACAGAAAAGCTCAATTCCTTCTGACTACTGCCCCATAGCCCCAATTCTTCTCAGAGACATAACACAGAAGAAAGACTGGGAAAACAAACCATACCTTTCCAGACCTCAGTTATTACAGAACACAAACAGCACTAGGGATTATTAAATACTTTGCTTTTGGCAGTGAAAGAGCAATCTATTCAAGGCATTGGACATGTGGGGCAAGCAGGCACCCCACCACTGAGCTGTACTCCTCCCTCTCAAACCGTCTCTTTACTTTAGATGCCTTACAGGTAATTCACATCACTGCACTTCAGTATGGGATCATTCTTTAGAATAGTTATGTGGCACAGTACAAATGTTCTACACCTTATTCAATAGGTCCTCTACTGGTGAACATCCATTTGGACATACAGATGTACAGTTCTGTGGAAGAGATGCTGATAGGCTGATACCTCTGCATTCACATCTGCTTCAGAGTTCTTTAAACAAGGGCCTTCCTTTCTGTTTCAATTCAATGAAATGTTACTACTAGTTCTCTGAAGAATACCTTTGAACTGTCAGAGTGGCAAATAAAAATGGCAAGACTGGATTTTACCACTTGTTACATTTGTATATCTACTTCAGTGTCTGGCACGGGGTGACACTTGGTATGTGCTGAATTGATAAGGACAAACTAGACAGGTGTAAAATGAAAGGTTTGAATCTCAAACTTCCTATAGTTAGAAACCAGGTCTTTGTGGGTTAGTGAATCAATATTCTATGTTTTGTACTTCAGATCTAGTTGGGAATTGGCTTTTATTCTTTGAGAAAATTGCAAAATAAATGCAAAATCTTGCTTTACTCTTGAAGTCTTCTCAAGGACCGTCACAAATGAAGGGAGAAAGAAACCATAAGACTGAAACTAAACAACAACCTGGAAGATTAAATAAGCAAGCTGCAGGCACATTGGCATTCATTTGGGTTATAAAGTCAAAATACATGCCAAATCCAGTCTCTATTGCTACCCACTCTGGAGGGTCCCTGTTGGGCAGGCAGCTGGCCAGGTGAGGGAATGAATTCATCTTTGCTGAGTCTTGGCAAGGAGAATTTCTTCCAGGTAGTTCTGGGAACATAGCAACATCCAGGGGTGACACGAAGCAGTCTAATGCCACAGACCTTGGGAATGAGCAGATGGAGGGAGAGATGGAAGTGAATCTGACTCCCACAGAACACTGCATACAATACAGTACAAGGCATGAAAGGATTTATGAACATGTTGAAAGAGAATGATTTGTTTTGACTACTGCTAAGAATGATTAAATTTCCAATTTTACATAAAGAGAGGCAGCTTCACCAAGAATATAATTAGCATTTTCACACACATACACACAAAAAAAACCCAAAACAAAAAACAAACAAACAACAACAAAAACAGTTCCAGAGCCTGAGGCCACAAGTGCTCAGGAAACACTGGAAGTGTGCATAGTTTACTTGGTCTTTGGGGACAGGGATCTGAGGAATGACACCAGGATCTGATATAGGAAGAAAATGTTGTACAACTGTGCCACAACTCCACCTCTTTATGATTTGTTTTTATTCTGAAATAGAGGCTCTCCAAGTTGCCCTGGCTGGCTTAGAACTTGGGATCCTCCTCCCTCAGCCACTTTAAGAGTGGTTGAGGTCACAGGCATAAGCCTTCTCACTTTGCTGGAATTTACTCTCATCCATGCCCTGTCCACAGCAAAGGGACAACTGACCTTTTCCAGACATCTCTTTTGGGACAGTGGCCCGGGCCCTCCCCTGCAAAGCTCAATCAAGCTGTTCTCTAGCCTGCCACTAAGCAGCCTGGTAATCCCTTCCCTACCGCCTCTGGGTACTCAAGCCCATTACTAACCATTCGACACTCAGAGGAAAGGGTAGAAAATGACCACATTCCCCTTGCAATCTTATATCATAAGTAAAAACAAATTTAAAAATGTTTATTTGGACACTTATATCCCAGACCATTCTTTGGCACAGTCGGAGTAAAACTTCCAGGCAGAGCGGGGGCAAGAGGGTACAGTACACCTCTGTCAGGGGCAGAACACTCCCTCACAGACCTAGTCCTCACCATGTAAACAGCTGTAGTTTAGGACCAGAAAAAAGACTCTCTCCTTAGGAACAGCAAAGTCCCTAGGTGATATCAAAAAGTAGCACAGGACTAGTATTTTTGACTGACTACATCACGTAATTCCAAGTTGAAATATAAAAACAGTATCTGTGATGCATTACAGAAAGGCCAGGACAACAAAAACTCCTGCACTGTGGAAATGTTTCCTTTTTGTGCAAAGAAGGAAGCCTGACCTGGAAGCCAGGCCAACTTTCACAAAGCATGTCTGGATGTTGTTGAAGGACAATGTAAAGCAAAAGAGAATATTTTCTTTTTTATTATTTGGCAGAAAAACAATAAAATAGAGTTATTTATGCTAATCAGCTTTCTAGTACACACTAACCAAGCACAAGTAATGTTATAGTAAAAGCTGGGCATCCCTGGACCATTTGAGAGTAGAACGGTTTTTGACCATGTCACAAATGATATATTGGCTCACCTAACGACTCCAGGGATATGTGGCTGACCTTGCTATAGAATGTTTCACAGGTCCATAGCCACTAATGACAGAATGGGCACTTGGGCTGCTTTGAAAAGGTTTGTTATGTTTGATGTTTGTTCAAGACAGGGGGTTTCACTATTCCAGCTAGCCTGGATCTCACTTTGTAGACCAGACTGGCCTTGAACTCACAGAGATCAACCTGTCTCTGCCTCCCGGATGCTGAGATTAAAGGTGTGCGCTACCACACCCAATCTTCCTTTCTAACAGTAAGGGTACAGAGAAGTGCAAGTGAGATGTCATATGAGAAGTCAGCCATCAAAGGGACGAGGCTATTGTGTCCCTCTTTAATATTCAGTAGCTACACTCACCTCAAGCCTTCCTTTCAGGTGTCTGTGTCCCCGCATCCTTTGAAGTTTGTTTTTGATGCTGTAGATGGAGGGTGTCTAGCTTCTGCAAGTCTTCTGTAAGGCCACTTCTAAGATCTGTGTTGCTTCTCAGAAACCCTTTCACCACATCCAGTTGACTTGAGATCTGTAAGAGGAAAGCATACAGAATGCTGCTTAGGATAATTATTGTAACAGAATTCAATCCAAATGGAACAGGATAATTGCTTTGCTCTTCCCCTAAACCACTTGCTCCTGTCTATGTCTACCACAGGACAGAAACGCTGATCACTGGCAAGTATCCATACATAGGTTAAGTTTGCAAATCAAAAGCAAACAAATTTGGGCTGGAGAGATGGCTCAGTGGTTAAGAGCACCGATTGCTCTTCCAGAGGGCCTCAGTTCAATTCCCAGCAACCACATGGTGGCTCACAACCATCTGTAATGGAATCTGACACCCTCTTCTGGTGTGTCCGAAGACAGCTACAGTGTACTCATATACATAAAAGAAATAGTCCTTTAAAAAAAGCAAACAAATTCTTTAAAACAAGGAACACTCATGCCATGTATGGTGGCCCAAATCTTTGTCCCAGCACTGGGGAGGCAGAGGCAGGTGGATCTCTGAATGTTCTGTCCACCATCTACATAGTGAGTTAAAAGGTCAGCCAAAAACCTTGCCTCAAAACAAACAAACATAGCCCAACACACACAAACACACACACACACACACACACACACACACACACGATACACTTAGCCAGGCATGTTTTTCATGCCTGTTAAAGTCAGCACTTGGAAAGCTGAGGATGGAAGATGATCACAAGTTGCAGGCCTATATGCAAAATAAATCAGACAAAATAAAAAAGCACTATCCACTCATACCAAATATGATCACAGAAACATCAGCCATATACGGGGTGTTTGTTTATCACCTCTAATTTTTTTTGTTTCAAAACTTGAATTTATAATGGAAAGTGTTCATCTTATACTTTTGAGGGTTTGTGCCTGCCTATAAGTATTACTGATAGAAGATAAATCTATAAAACAGTACACATTCCAAGTCAACAGGGTATGAGGTTAAAAAGCCACTGTTTCTTAAATCTGACCCTAATTATTCCATTCTCTCCTATACATTTCTTCTAAAAAGATGTCATGTGTTTGTATGTACACATTTTTGGAATCACAGAGTAAGCACACACAAGCTTTCTCCCCACCACTCTTCACCCCTTTTGTCTTCTCCCTAACCATCCCTTTCCTAGATTCAGGACTTCTAGCTTTATTCTGGGACCCATTTAGTTTAACTAGGGCCATCTGTATGATCTCCTGGTTGGGGCTATCCACAGGAGCTTACTGAGATTACCAGGAACATTACACTAACCACAGGCACTGACTTTTCCTGAATTTACTAGTAGTAAAGAGGTCAAGACCATATATATATATATATATATGTATGTAGACACATACCATGTATATGTGTGTACACACACACACACACACACACACACACATATATTCAATACAGGGTTTCTCTGTATAGTCTTGGCTGTTCTGGATCTCACTCTGTAGACCAGCAGCATAGCCTTGAACTCAAAGATATAACTGCTTCTGTCTCCTGAGTGCTGGGATTAAAGGCTTGTATCACCACCACCCAGTTAAAAAAAAAGAAAAGGAAAGTCAGGCTCCTGTTTACTTCAGACTTCCCTTAAACATAGGATCCTCTTGCCTCAAGTCTCATTTTATTGGATTATTTTATATGTATGAGTGTTTTGTCTGTCTGTCTGTCTGTCTGTCTGTCTGTCTATGATGCCTGCAGAGACCAGAAGAGGACATCACATCCTCCTGAAACTAGAGTTATAAATGGCTATGAGCCATCACGTGGGTGTTGGAAACCAAACCTGGGTCCTCTGCAACAGCAGCCAGTACCCTGAGCCATCTTTCCAGACCCCTAAGCCTGATTTTTAATGGCTGAATAATAATCCAATTATGGAAGTTCCATTTTCAATACATTCTGAACCTTTTATTGGGACAACTAACCATGTGGAATTTACCCTCGCACATATGTTACTCACATAAATGACATTTCTGTTTATAGAAAGAGAAGGCACTTTTTAATTCTGATTGGAGTCTGTTTTAATTTTAGTAGTTAGCCAGAAATGCTATGTATAGAAGTTATACTGACTTAAATCTCCCAACAACATACTTCTCAGTATTTTAGCCAGTACAAGGAATCTCAGAGTGGTACTATAAGAGAGTGTGCACTGGTCTTACCCCAGAACGCCTTCATTTCTTGGCCACTGCTGAGCACAAACTAGCACTCCACACCTTTGCTAAGAGAATCCTTCCTTCCAGGCCAACTACTGAGCTTTTACTAAATCCGTGAGTTCTAGCTCCTATTTGTTTTTGTGGAGAGGGTTCCCCCTTACGTCAGATAATCCTACAAGTGTCCTGTTCCAGATTCTACTGGAGCTCTTACGCCACAATTCCACTTTGGAGCACGTATTAGGTCCCCAAGCATTTGCTAAGTATTGAAAGAATATGCAATTCTAGACAACACTTGACTTAATCAGAAACCTGGCTCTCTGTGTCTGTCCTGGCTGGAGTTTTATGTCAACACAAGCTGGAGTCATTTTGGAAGACAGAACCTCAACTGAGAAAATGTTCCCACCAGATTGGTCAGTGGGCAAGCCTGTGGGCATTTTCTTGACTAAGGATGGATGTGCGAATGCCAGGTGAGCCTGAGTTAAGAAAGCAGCCTGAGCTCCTGCCTCCAGGTTCCTGCCTTGATTTCCCTCAGAGATGGGAGTGTGACCTGTGGTGTAAGCTGAAATCAACTGTTTCCTCTCCAAGCTGTGTTTGTTTATCACAGCAACAGAAAATGTCACACCAAGCGGCTGCCACCACTTCTCTTTCCTCCTCACAGTTTATCCCTGTACCTCTTCCGGCAACACCTCTTCTTCTGCTGCTTGAAGATACATCTCTTGTAGCTTTTCCTTCAGCAATTCTATTTCAATTTCATGGATTTGGTTCACACTCAAGTAACTTCCTGTTTCAACTTCATACCCATCTCGTTCATCTTCCTCAGGGATGTGAACAGCCCAGTCAGATGTCAACAGCTGTGGGGCGATGACACAAATCCATCAACAAACTATGTTTTAAAGTTCAAGTTTTAAACTATTTTTTATCAATTCCTTGAGAATTTCACATATGCACATAATGTACTTTGATTATAGTCACTTTACTCCCCATGACTTTTCCTGAAGTCACCTGTACATTAAAATTTCATTCTTAGATATGTCACTGTTTGTAGTGTTGGTAATGGAACACAGAGACTAAACTATGATAGATAACTAATCTACCACCCAGCCACACACCCAGTCCTTTGCACTGTATTAACGGAAGACTTGTATTTGAATGCAGGCCCAAGGACTTGAGTTCCATTCCTGCATCTCATAAGGTGAAAGGAGAGAACAGACTCCCAAGAGTTGTCCTCTGATCTCCAAATGTGTACTATGGAATGCACACAAGTAAGTGTGTGTGTGTGTGTATGTGTACACACTGGTGCACACCCACATGGGCACACATGCATACACACAACATAAACAAACTTTAACAGAAGAATTCTACTGGATTATTCATAGAATGTATAACAAAATACCATTACCTAGATCTATTTTAGCCACACACAGTTTTATATCAGCTTTTCCCCTTTGTTCACATTATAAAACTTAAGTTTGCAGCTGAGGCTATAGTTCAGTGAGAGAGCAATGTGTGAGGCCCAGCTCTAGGTTCCACCCCAAGTAGGCTCTCCAAATAGTAATAGACTAAAGTTTTTAGGAGTGTAGAGTGCTTTCCTGGCATTCACAAGGACCTGTGTGTGTGTGCTATTATCATCAGTGCATCAATACAGAATTACAATCCGGTTAAAATAAACATCGAATTTGGGCTTCTTTTGTTTGAGAAAGGGTCTCATAATATAGTTCAGGCTTCCCAGGAATTTAGCACACAATATAGGCTGGCTTTCAATTCAGAACATAATATAGGTTGTTGCGACCTCCCAAGTGCTGGGATTTACATGCACCACAAATTCTAATGACTGACTATGGATGTTTTTGACCCCTGAAGTTTTGTATATCAGAACTGTTAAATGCAGTTTCAGATGGGCAGGATGGTGTATGCCTATGACCCCAGTACTCATTATGTAGTGGCAGACTACTATATGCACATTTGGGGACAACCTAGTCTACATATGAAGTTCCAGGACAGGCAAGGCTAACAGTAAGATCTTGTTTCAAAAAAAAAAAAACTCAAATAAATCTATGAAGATTTTTACCTGTTCTATTCTGGAATATACCGCTACAATCTCGGGAATATTCTTGAATTCGTTCAGAAAATTTTGAATCTTTATCTGAAAATCTTGAAGCCAAGTAGATGAAACTTTCATCTCTGAAGAGTGCATTATTTCATTTCGACACTTAATCACCTATAAAAAAACAAAGATAAGAGCCTTCAAAAGTCAGGAGATGTGTGGAAAGAATGAAGGGGTGTGGAGCACTGTTGGAGGAGGTGCTTCACTGGGATCAGGCCTTAGTTTTTCAAAGGATCCATGCCCCCAGGATGTTGTCTACCTCCTGTGTGCAGTTCATGTACACGCTCAGCTGTTCCTGGTGCCGAGCCTTTGCTCTAGCATCAGACTTAACCCACTGAAACTGTAAGCCCAATTAAATGTTTTCCTTTGTATGCTGCCTTTGACTATAGCAATAGAAAAGTAACTCATACCAACTCCTACAAGTTGTCCTTTGGTCTCTACATGTGCATAATGTAAGTAAATGTAATAACAACAAATTGGACATAATCAACAATTTTTAAAAGCCTTGTAAGTTAATAGGGTAAACTGGGACCACGTAGCTTTAAAAAGAAATTACAGAAATACTTTACTAAATTACAAAATTGACCAGTATGGTCTGATATCCAGAGGACGAGGACTGGACCTTTCATGAGACCATGGAGCCTGCTAGCCCACAAGTCAGATCTTTATTTATTTTCTGCCTGCCCAGAGCACATCTGTCAAGCCATGAAGTCCCTGTGGACTCCAAACTGAAAGGCTCAGGTGAAAGGCCTTCGTGAAACTGGTTTATATGCAGGTAGAAAGATGAAGGCATAAGGGACCAGAATGACCCGGAGAATGTATGTCTCATAGTATAGAACGCCTGGGATGAAGTATAGGGCTCTCCGTGATGAATCACAACCATCTGTAACTCCAGCTCCATGAGATCTCATGCTGTTCTCACCCTGAAGTAGGTACGTGGTGCATGTACATATGTGCAAGCAAACACTCATACACTATAATAAATGTCAAAAATTACAAATAAACATAGTAATTCTGTAGCCTGAGGCAGGACAAATAAAGCAGGACAACAGGCCAGACTTTGGCTGCCAAGGGTAAAGAATTATTCAACCCATTGCTACACAAGTAACAACCAAGGTAGAGAAATTCAAAGGAGAGGGTAGAGAGATGCTCAGTGGTTCAAAGCACTTGCTGTCCTTTCTAGAGGACCCGGGTTTGATTCTGAGCTCCTACACGGCAGGTAACATCTGTTCCTCCAGTCTAATGAGATTCAATACATTCTGGCCTCCACAGGCACTACAAGCACATGATGCACAGACAAACATGCAGGCATAACACCATACACGTTAAAATAAAAAGAAGGTCATGGTGGTATGATCACAGCACTTGGGAGGCTAAGGCAAGAGAATTACGAGTTCAAGGCACACACGTGACACCTTGTCTCCAAAAGAAAAACAAGAAATACATGAAACATCCTTCCTTAGCCTTGGAAATCATCACCCCAAAATGTCTTTGTGCAGGTTATAGTTATGTCAATTTGACATAAGCTGGGGTCATTTTGGGAGAGAGAACCTCAGTTGACAAATTCCTCCACTAGACTGGCCCGTGGTACATGTTCATGATTGATGTGGGAGGGTCTACTTCACTGTAGATGGTGCCATCCCTACTGAAGTAGCAGCATCCTTCTGTGGCTCTGCATCCGCTTCTGCCCTGACTTCTCTCAGTGACTGACTGAGCTGTGGAACTATAAGCCTTTCTCCTCCACAGGTTGCTTTTGGTTATGATGTTTGATTACAGCAATAGAAACCCTAACTAGGACAAAAATTGGGATCAAGTTCAGAGGTGCTGTGATCATAGACCACAGTTTTCCTTCATAGTATTGTGGAACGATTTTGGAACTAGGTTCTGAGAGGTTGGAAGATAGGCACACTAAGATCTTGCTTGGCTTGTGATGTTCTAGAGGGACATTTTAAGGAATCTCCTTAAAAACTCTATTGGGGTCGTTTAATATTTTGAATTAAAACTCTGTAGTGTCTGGTGATCTGGAGATGAAGAATTGACCATGACTCACAAGAGAGCAGCACTACTGAAATGGAACCTCATTACTAGGACAATGGATGCTGGTTAGCTGGAGCTGAGAAATCAGCAGTGATTAAGAAAAGGATTGTAAACCTGCAAGTATTTCCACAGAGTCAGCACAAAGGTGCTGTGTTCCAGAAGGCTGCATCTTATGCTCACAGCCAGATTTGGCAGTGTTCAAGCTACCCAGAATGTTCTAGTTTTGAAGGCATGAAGAAATAATGGAACACAGCTGAGGCTTGGCACTATATGGTAGGGCTAGAGTCCCCGAAGAAAGGCCAAGAGTGGCTATTAGTGAAGGTGTAGCATTAGTTGTAGTAGAACCCCCAAGACTGAAGGACTCATGAGAAGGTGAGGCTTGGGACCATGTGTCTGGGTCACTGTGTGCGAAAAGAGCCCAGGAGAGGCTGTAAGAATAGGTGCAACCCAGAATCTGAGAGGCCAGTACCATTGGATGACCTCCAAAGCATTGACAACCATGGAGTGGAGCCAGCCTGAGCCTATGAAACATTGTGTCTGCTGTTGCAGGCCTTTTGGAACCTAAAAGATAATGAATGAATCTCAGATGTCCCATAGCCTGAGTGTCTGACATTGGTAGATGTTAATTTCGCTTTGATTTGACTGTGACTGTGCTTGTGCTTCTTTACTCTTTTTAGAGTAGAGAGTATTTAATTTTTTTCATTTTACAGGAGCCACAGTTATGGCAGCTGGGGTACTTTAGTGAAACTTTGGAACTTTCAAAGTATTAGAATTTTTAAAGACTATGAGACCTTTAAAAGTTAGAATGTTTTATACTGTGCTATTAACATACCAACTTGGGAACAAAAAAGAAAAGAAAGATTCTGGCTGAAAAGTATGTCAAGTTGATAAGAGGTCAAGCTAGTTTCATGTCAACTTGACACAAAATCACATGATGATTCTTGACAAGAATCATGTTGAAATAGGTAACCTCAGTGGGAAAAAAAATGTCCCCACTAGATCAGTCTGTGGTGTATTTTCTTGATTGATGATTCATATGAGAGGACCGGGCCCACGGTGAGAAGTGTCACTCTGGGCTAGAGGTCCTGTGTTGTATAAACAGCAGGTTGAGCAAGGTATGAGGAGCAGGTGCTCCTACGTTTCTTCCTGCCCTGACATTGTTTGATGACGGACTGTGCTAGAGAACTGTAAGGTGAAATAAAGCCTTTCCTCTCCAGGTTCATTTGAGCATCATAGCAATACATGGTTTTTGTTTCCTTTTTTGAAAAGTTTGCATTTTTCTCCCAGATGTCTTTGGCAATTTGGCAAGCATACTGGCTCTAACCATAAACACACACATACACACACATACACACACATACATACACACACACACACACACACCCCTTCACCTTACATTTTGAGATAGGATCTCTCAGTGAACTTGGATCCTATTGCCTCTGTTCTTGACCCAATACTGGAGTCAGACATGTATTTCCACACTAGCATTTATATGAGTGCTCAGGATCTGAAACTAGATCTTCATGGTTGGCTAGCAACCACTTTACTGACTGATCCATCTCCCCAATCCCTCACAACTATTTTTTGTACAGAAAACTTCTTTACTTTTGCTTATGGCAGAGAAGATAAATCTGAGTTCCATCGACTCAAATGGCCAACTGTACTGTGATGTTCTGAATGAAAATGTCCCTTTATAAGCTCATAGGGTGTGACATTAGGGTTGGTGGCCTTGTTGGAGTAGGTGTGGTCTTAGAGGAAGTGTGTCACTAGGGGTGGCTTTGAGGATTCAAAAAGTCCATTCCAAGCCTAAAGTTCCTTGCTTCTTGTTGCCTACCAATCCAGATGTAGAGCTCTCAGCTCCTCCAGCATGCTACCATGCTTCAGCCTTGATGATAATCGACTGTAAGCCAGCCCCAATTAAATGTTGTCCTTTCTAAGAGTTGCCTTGGTCATGGCATCTCCTCACAGCAATAAACAGTGATTAAGACCAAGCATAGTAACAAAGTGTCAGGAAAGTAACTCTAGAGAAGTGTAAGCTTACTGCTTGATCACACTCACATTCAGATTCTTGGAACATGCAGGGCACACAGGAAATAAGGTCCACGAACTGCTTAGTGATGCCAACTTTGGGCTCAAGTCTTTCTTTGCCACTGCCTCTCTGAGTGCTGCTAAGCTACACCTGTGTGGCTGGCTTACTATTGGAGTAGGTTCGTAGCCTTCCTAGTGTTGACCAGACTGCATGGGTAGACAGTTCTGAATCTGACAGATCTTACCTCTGTGACCTTCTTCCGGTCAACCACAAAGTGATCGCAGGAGTTGATGAGACTTAAAAGAGCAACTGCATCACATTCCTCAGGTCCTCGTTTGTCAGCCAGTCCTCGGGGCATGAAGGCCTATAATAAGGGAGGTACTAGGTTATCTGAGTGTCCCCCAAACTCTGAGTGCTAGAAAGTCAAATTCTTTGCCCATTTCCTTACTGATGACTAATGGTCTCTTATCCTCTAACGTTTCAAGCTAGAACCCTGTGAGTTCAAAATGCAAGGGAGAAAAAGACCTATCTATCCAAGCAGAGCCTTAATGGTAGGGTAGCACTATCCATCTGCAATATTACACACAGCTGATAAAATGACTTTCTTCTTGTCCTTTTGTTTTGCTTTTTTGAGACAGCAATAAACAGTGAGACAGGGTCTCTCTCTATAGTCCTGGCTATCCTGGAGCTCAATATGTAGGCCCTGGATGGTTTCAAACTCCCTACCTAAAAGGTATGTTTGAAAGCAAACACAATCCGGTCAGGAAGCAGGTCCGATGCTTTCTACAGGACAGTTCCTACCGATATTCCAAAGGCTGGCAGTAAGCACGGGAGAGTCCTGTCATGTCAAGAGAGTACCATACTTGAGCCTCCCATACGTACTCAGACTAACACAGGGTCCTCATAATCTTTCTCTGTCTAGTAGCTACAGAGCTTAACAAAGAAGTGAATTTACCCACATAACTAAAGAAAGCCAACAGCCCAATACAGATGTTGTTGAAGGGAAAACACAGACAGTCGGTCAATGGCTCTGAATTGCCCTAGCTTTCTTTACTCTCCTGGTGTAGATTCTACCCAACATGTTCATGCTAACACAAACAACTCTCTTTGCCACGTTAGTTTTGTTTTGGTAATTATTTCCTTTCTTTGGGAACCAGAAGCTAACAGGGAGCCTCTATTGCCTCCTTACAGCACTGTACACCGACATGTGTCACTCAGTAAACACATAGCAGAGAAACACCTACAAAAGTCCCTCTGTCTTCCACTGTCTTTTCACTGAGGAGCTCGAACTGGAGAAATGAATCCAAGCAGGCCATGCTGGGCCTCACTGGCTTGGCAGTAAGTGTAGAATTTACTAGAAGGAGACCAAGATACCTCCCCGAAGCATTCTACAAGGAAACAAACCCATCAAAGTCCTACCCATCTCACTGTGTAGAGCTAGCCAGGAGCCAAGAACAGTGCAGAGGGCCACGTGAGTGGCCACGACCAGAATCTAGGCAGAAGATGAAAAGGTGTGCTAGAGAGGACAGGAGAAGCACTCCAAAAACCCTGCACAGGTAGAAACCTGGAGGGCAGCAATGGGAAAGATGAAAGTAGAATGATTCTAGAGAGAGGCTGGAGATGCAGCCCCGTGGTAGAGTACTTATACTGGATTCTTTTCCTCAGTATGGCAAAACCACACATAGGCATAAGAAAAGGAGACGACTCTTTGATTGGGAATCAGGTGGGTAAATCTCACTGTGGAACTAAATGCCAAGTGCTGAGGAGATACAGCAGAGGGGTCAGGGAAACACCTGGATATGCACAGCTGTAGCTCTGAACTATAAGGGCAAAGCTAGGGTCATTGCTAGAAAGGCTGGAGAGGAGGAGGAGGAAGAGGAGGAGGAGGAGGAAGAGGAAGAAGACAAGGAAGAGGAAGAAGAGGAGGAGGAGGATGGGGAGGAGGAAGAAGAAGAGGAAGAGGAGGAGGAGGAGGAGGAGATGAAACAAAGGCAGGGGTGTGTAAACCCAAGTGGCCAGTGGTGAGTGGAACACGCCTGATAGGTAAGAACAACGAAGCTAGGAGCTATGTTGCATACCTGCAAACCTACAAGTAGTTGAGAAGTAGAGGCAGGAGAACCGAGAAACCAACCTGGACTACATTCAGACTCAATAAACCCAGGGTTGGGGGTGTAGCTCAGTGTTAAGAGTGTTTTCCTAGCATGTGTAAGGTCTTGGGTTACATTGTCAGCCTTGAAAGGAGGAGGGAGAAGGCTGAAGAACGAAGGTCACAGATGCAGGGCAGGGGCAGGGGCAGAAGCCATGTTTACATAAGTTGAAGAACATGTAGGAGCTAAGGAGTAACAGGCATCAAGTCCTCTTGAAGTTCTGCTAAGAACACATATAGACAGCTGATAGATAAACAAACAGGCTGACAAATAGGCAGGAAGGAATGGATTTTGAGAAAACCTCTCCCCGCCAATTTTATTTTCTAAGTATTTTTCAAGTAGTTATAAATATAGCTCCACAGAGCGATGACATACCCGATGAAGTATGTAAGAGGCTTTGAGTTACACAGTCTTAAGCAACTATCACTGTGGGCAGGAATCTGGAGGCAGGAGCAGATGCAGAGGCCAAGGAGGGTGTTGTTTACTGGCTTGTTCCTCATGGCTTGCTCAACCTGCTTTCTTATAGGACCCAGGAGCACCAGCCCAGGAATGGCACCACCCACAATGGGCTGGGCCTTTCTCATATCAATCACTAAGAAACTGTCCTACTGGCTTGCCTACAGTCTGATCTTGTGGAGGCATCTTCTTTACTTGGGGTCCCTCCTCTCCAGATGGTTTTAGCTTGTGTCAAGTTGATGTAAAACTGGCTAGCACAAACTAAGCTGTTTATATGGTGATGGGATTAAGCAGGAAGCAAAAGAGTGGACAGCTAAAGATTTAAGGGATGAGATCCAACACATAAGTGGAAGGACAGGGCAAATGGGAAGTCACTTTGTAGCAGAAAGAAGAAACACACACATATGTAGAATTATAGGCTCAACAAAAAGACAAGGAAGTCTGTGTTTGGGGCATCCATCAACTCCATGAAGTGTGAGCAAAGCTAGCAGCTGGGATGAAGGAGGGAAAATGGGAAGAGGAGCTTGCGGGGGCGGGGGGCGGGGGGAGGCAGGAACAGACAGTTCTAGGAACTGAAGTCCACAGAGAGACATTAGGGCTCAAGATCAAGAATGAAGTGAAACCAGTGAGTTCCCTTGCGAGCTACTTCTCTTGAGTAGAAGTATATGGTGTCGTGTGGGCCTGAGTTGGGCCAGGCAGGCTCAGAGAAAGAAAACAGTGATGATGATTGCAAAGGAGCGGTTGTAATGGGCAATGGGAACTAAGCTATGTGGCAAAGTCAAGCAGAAGGGAAGAGACTACCCAGGATTGAGAAGCAGTAAAAGGCAGGGGGCAGGGTACAGTGTTTGGGGAGGAATATGTGGACAGAGATGGGGTGTGGGCACACATTGCTATGTGAGGGTAGAGGATGCTAAGCCAGGGAACCCAGGAACTGAGATGATGGAGTTAGAGCCAGAATGCATACACGAGATTCAACTAAGTGGTCTACAGGTGGCTAGCAACAAAGGAAAAGGCTAGCAAGAGTAGGTAACACAGGCTTCAGAAGTGCTTCAAAGCTATGAAACATCAAGAAATCAAAACAAATTCCCCAATCAGACTAGGCGTTAAGTCACAGTGACAGAATCTAAACACAGGCCTAACAACCCCTACCTCACAACTAACATTTCCACCTTCTAAAACTTTAGACCTTAGCTAGACATCCTCCTGTCGCTCCACAGCAAAAATAAGCCTTTTAGTAAACCGCACCTCAACTGTTCTTCCATGCCCCTCGGCCTGTGTTGTTTTCCTCCCTAAGACAGGGTCTTACAGTATGTAGCACAGGATATCCACAAACCCGCAGCGAACCTGCCTGTGTCTCTCCAGTGGTGGTATTATTTAAACACATGGGCCACTGCACTTGGCTTCACACTACATCTTTTCCCAGCATCTCTTATTGGAATCTTAAGTATAACTTCCCAGAAGCAAAGCTCGAATGCCTGCAGGAAGTGAAGAAACAGAAGCTTCTATTTTACTGAGCTTTGATGGGTCCACTCTAATATCCCCTAACCACTAGTACACTAAACCCCAGAGAACCAACCAATCTTCAGGTACTTCTGTACTTTCTGAAGTCCCAGTTTGCACTCAAAACCTGCTCTCCATCCTGGGACACCAGGAGAAACTTCATCTGCTTTCCTCCGGGCTGCAAGTGCTTACCTTGGCTACTTCCCAAGGGTCCACGGGCCAGAGGCCAGGCCTGCAATTTCCCCAGTGCACGTCTCCATTTCTGTTCATGTGATGCCTCAATATCTCGCGTTTCCACTCTGTGCACACCCGACACTGAGGCTGAAACTACAGGGGGCAGAGGTGAGGTGGAACCGGGATGGGCGCGGCAGCAATATAGGAACACCCCGGGAGTGGTAAGCAGCCCCGCCACGCGAAGGAAAAAGACAGCAAGCACACAGACTTGGGGACAAGCCGTGGATATGCGCCCAAGTCCAGGGCCAGTAGCTCACCTGACGAGCACGCGGGCTGCACCGGGAACCGCCGCAGCAGGTGACGTGGGGACCGAGGCCAGGGTCTGCGGCCAGCAGTCCACGATGGAAGGAGAGCACTTCGCGGTCTATGAAACCCTGCAGGCAGCTGCGCAGCAGCAGCAGGCAGTGTCCTGCTTTCACCCAGTTTTTGTATTCGGTACAATTGAGGCGCGCTGCCAGCTCCGACACTACCATGTCTTACTCCTGAAGGCGGGGCCCGGCAGTACGCAGGCGCGGCACCCTGGGACGCTCCCACGCAGCGCAGGCGTAGCCCAACCCAGAAAACGTGCCGGCGTTTGTCGTCGCTGTGCGATGCACACTTCAGAGGCTAGAGGCTGGCCACACTTTCAGTTCCAGGAAGTGGCAGCTCCACTCCCACTTAAAGGAACCGCTTTGGTTTGTGGACATGGATCATTTAGACTAGTTTTAATTTTCATCCCCCGAATACCCTACCAACCCTCTAACCAACCTGATCCCCTCCAGATGTGCTGACCTTTTTATTGTAAGGATGGAGGAATGCTCAAAGGCGTGTTTCTTGAATGACATTATGTTCCTTGCATTGTGCAATTCTACAAAATTAATTCACTTCTAAACCCACAAAACAGCAAATTCAGGACATTAATAACATGCCTGTCGTCCAACTAAAGCTGGGGTTGGGCTATTGTGTTGTGCGGTCCCCTACATATGCTAAAGTGACTCTAGGGCCAGAAACCTGAGTAATTGGAGCACCTGGCAGAAGCAAAGGGGATAATGTATTTCCTGGTTTTGGAAGGACTGCACAGCCAGAAGCTTGAAGCCTCCAGAAAAGGGTTATTTCAGCTGCACAGCGAAGTCATATGCTACAGAGATCAGAATGCATTAGATTGTCAACGTCACATCATGTTTTAGATGCTTTTAGTGAGTTTTTTGACCTTGGAAAACAAGTTGAAGTGGAATGTAATCAAAAGACCCTGAAGGAACACTGTAAACAGAAACCTTGCCAAGACTGCATGGCTCACACAACACAGGCAATGTTAACAACCACTAGCTCTGGGTTTAAACTGTCAATTCTTTGTGGTTTGATCTTGGCTGATCCTACTTTTAATATAAGCCATTATTTACTTCTTTGTACCTCTGTTTATCATCTGTAAGAGGAGGTTATTAATACTTACCTCACAGTGTGGGGAGGAGCATTAGAATAATGCCTGGCACACAGTAAGCTTTAAGTAAATGCTAGTTCTTATTTCATATTGACCCAAATATGCTCTTTCAACCACTACTTACAGCATTGGACATTTTAGCAAACCACTGGTCAGTTGGAAGTGGGGACAATTTATAAAAAAGAGAGACCAGATGTGATCATCTGGAGACTCAAAGTACAGCAGGCTCTTAATTTTCTCTTACTAATCTCAACATTAGACTCATGCAAAACAAATCCAAATACCCCATTCGATCAAACCAAATTAAAAAAAAATTGCAAAAAAAAAAAACCCCAATGAAATCTACATTAGGATTTTCCTTTTTATGACTTGTCATCAGGTCTTTGAAAGGTCTTTGAAAACTTTTCTGTAAGTATGAATTTTATATCAAGAACAACTGAAAGTGGGGACTGGGAGTGGGGAACATCCCTGTTTTCCAAATACTCATTAGTGGATCACTTGGACTTATGAGGTTCAAGGTCAGCCTGGGCAACATTGGAAAGACCCTGTCTTATTTTTAAAAAGAAAGAAAAAGAAATTTAATTGGTATTTCTTTTGAAGGGAAAAAAACATGGCAGAAAAAACATGTATACCTACCCTTAAGCTCAGTTCAGTCCCTGCAATTACGAAGTGACCATACTTCTCTTAACTCGAAAAGTTCTTTTTTACATTATGAAATGAAATTTTGGGGCTGGAGAGATGGCTCAGGGGTTAAGAGCACAGACAGCTCTTCCAGAGGTCCTGAGTTCAATCCCCAGCAATCTCATGGTAGCTCACAACCATCTGTAATGGGATCTGATACCCTTCTTGGGTGTGTCTGAAGACAGTTACAGTGTACTCACATACATAAATAAATAAATCTTAAAAAAAAAGAAATGAAAATTTTGCAGATGTAAAAGGGAAAAGGGTGAATTAGGATTGATGTCTCCTTTCTGGGTTAAACTAATACTAAGCCAAGATTACAACCCAAAACATCTTCACCAAAGAGAGCTGGTAGTTCTCTGAAACTTGTACAAATTTTATTTATTACCGTAAATACTAAAATCACATTGAAAACACCTTAAAATCAAGTTCCAAACCACCTACTAGAGAAAAACCACTATGGCATCCAGTTTCTTTGATTGAATCTGGTTAACAAAAGAGGCGAAAGACATGGTTCGTGATGAAAGTTATGATTCCAATGCTAAGTATTTCCAAGCTTTAATAAAGTATATACCAATTCCAAGTACCAAGCATGATATCAAAATTCAAATTCATTGGTTTACTCTTAATAAGCATCAAAATCAAATTCTGTTCATTGAATCCTATCTTACTTGATTTACACAATGCATTCAAAGGTGAGTTATAATTAGGAAAAAAGTAACCATTGAATGCATCATGTATAAAAATGCATTTAACATTCTAAAACCACACTTAAAAGAGAAAAATACCTGAAAAGTTGATTCTATTAATAAAATTATTTGAAACAATATCATCCTGCAGATAAAAATACATTTCTTATATATACATGTAGATTTCTACATGAAAGATAGGATTCAGCTCCAAATAGAAAAGGATTGACTCCTGATCAAGACATCTTAGATTGCCAAACCCATGTGATTAGTACTGCGAAGAGAACTGAAAACACAAGGAGAAAAAGGTTAAGCTAAAGGAAGAATAAAAGTTTAGTCACCTACTCTGGAACAGTGGCAGAGTTGGGTGAAAAGCAGGAGATGAACGCAGAAAAGAGACAAAGAAGACAAAGAAGGCCTCAACTCTGACTGCAAAGGGAGACTCAAGCCAAGTTGAGAACACATGATACAGTTGCAGTAAGATACTTAAAAAACTAGAATCTCATGATTATACTTGTAGAAGCTCAATCATCATAAAATGTAATCAGACAAACATCTAAACTTCCATCAAGGATCATAATACATTGTCTAGATAACTCAGTATGATATAATCATTTTTAAAAAACACACAAAACAAAAAACTCCTCCAAATAACATCAAGTTATCAGAAGACATTTGAATCAGACCATATTCATCAAAGCTTAAAAAAAGGCCCTGACTGGCTGCAAGAGACAGTACAGTACTCTAAAAAAAAAAAAAACCAATCCTATTGAGACGTGCCAATGCCAGAAACTCCACTGAACACTGGACAGGTCTTGCACTGTGGACTTTTCAAATGACTGGACTAGGTTGTGTCCAACAAGACGTCCTATCGTTTTGTTGACAATGGATAAAATTGAGATTGTTTAGAACAACCCCAAATGGGCTGGGGAAGAAGGTCAAAAGTTAAATAAGACAAAAGAAAAACTTCACGCAAACTAGAGCATTCACGATTTTTGTTTCCTAGTTAATGGTGTATGCAGAAGTATACCTTAAAAATGACATTTTCCTAGCAAAAAGGTTCCCATTTTCTCACACATGAGAATCACATTTGGGATCCATAATCATTATAAATCACTGTCTCTTTTCAAAGACAAAGCTCTTTCAGTTTATCCAAATCCTATACTGAAAAACAACTGAGGTGCTAAATGTTATCACCAGTCAGGTTAGGAATGTCTGAAGAAACCAATCTTAAAACACAAATGTTTTTGGTCAAATTTCAGACATATATAATTTAAAAACTGACTGGCCCCACCAGGTTAATGATGAAGGGAGGCTCTAAGAACTCTAGAGAGCTTATACACACACAAGTGAGTGTCTCTTTTATATCCTAGTTTTATTAAATATTGCTTCTTTGGGATGTGTTTTACAGCTCCCAAAACCATTTCTGAGTAAGGATTCAAAGCGGTCATATTAAAATACAGCTCCAATATAAAGTTTGTCACAGTTTTACAGTATTCAAAACTGACAGACCTGCCTTAAAAAAAAAACAAAATAAAAATCAAAAAGAACCATTACACCCAAAACATAAGAAAACAATTAAATAAACAAGTTTGGCATTTTCATTACTTTATAGTATAAAACAGAATATTAAATCTATTACTGGCACACAGACACTGATCTGTTACCTAGTTTGAAATGTGTCGCATTTAAACACACTATACAAGTTCACTATACAAAAAAAAATGATGGTCTTTTTGATGAAGTGCACCCTGAAAATGTTGCCAGTTTAGAATATTTAGTTCTTAAGGTTAAAAAATAAGTCCTTTTCCTTTTTAAAACTGACAGCTGAATTCAGCCTTTTTTTTTTGTGTGTGTGTTGTTTTGTTTCATTTGTCAGCCTTCCTGGTTTAAAAACAATAGTGTCTATGGACGCCCACCAGGGGGCAGTGTAAGATTAGCCATTAAATCACGAACAGCTGCAAATATTGTGCATTCACCTGCAACAGAGAAAAATGGTCATTAGCTATTCGCAGTACAGGAGAGACGTTAACACACCAGTGAGGGAAGGGATGGTTAAAATCTGTCACGAATTTAAAATGAAAGACTTAAGTATTCTCAAATATTCAGATTTTAGGCACTGGAAACTGGTGTGGTACAACATATTTCAGTTGGGCTTTGTTTCTGTCTCAGGAAGAAACCTGGAGCACGCATCAAGTTTAAACAGAGAGAGAGAGAGGAGAGAGAGGAGAGAGAGGAGAGAGAGGAGAGAGAGAGGGGGGGGGAGGAGGGAGGGAGGCAGAGAGAGAGAGAGACAGAGAGAGACAGAGACACAGAGAGAGACAGAGACACAGAGAGAGACAGAGAGAGAGAGACAGAGAGAGAGATGCTTTCAGTGCACAGAAACAGTGCCACATTGGATAAGACTAACAGTCTGACTTTAGATGCGTTTTGGATCTAAAGACAGTTCTAATTTATATTTGTGCATTGGTTATGACTTTGGTGATGTCCCTCCTGCTAAGGCTGTACGAAAGGCCAGATAAGACTGTGTCTGCTACGTTATAGGAACACTACTGTCCAATAGAAGGTTCTGTGTCGAAAGACATGTGCGTGCTCTACGAAGCACTACTTTGGCTATGAAACTCAACATTTTCATTTTATATTGTGTATTTAGGTTAAATTTTAAATTTGGCTAGTGGCAGTTATATTGGACAATGA